GAGAGTTGCGGACAGTGGACCTGGCAGGCGGCGTGGTTTACCAGGAAGGTGCATGCTCGTTGGACAAGGGAAATTAATTAGCCAGTTCTGGAGCCATCAACCGTCACTCTGGATACGAGAGGGAGCGAACGGGCCCTCCGGTGTCCCCAGCAAAGCGAAGCGAATTCGCGAATCCCGTTGATGAGGTAAATTTTCTCCACGGGCCCGAGGGAGAGTACTCCAGTCCAAAGTCCAGAGTCCAGAGCGAGCCCCAGGGCATTGCCGCACAGCAGCAAGGCACGGCCGGTGCAGGGACTGGTTAAAGGGTGGCCTGCCGGGATGTTCGTACGGAGCACACTACATAGCAGGAAACCTTCGTCACTCGTGGGGCTTGACTGAATGAATTTTGATTGAGGGCTGTCCGTCGTCTGAAGTGTTTAGGTTTGGGCGATGGCTAGAGTCTGCAGTAATAGAGAAGAGAGAGCAGATAAGATGAAACTTGACCGACATGCCTTGCTGAATTGCTTGCGTATCTGCCTGGCGTGTCGCGTTTGAGGTGTTGTATTTTGCATTCAAGTCCCTGGTTGAGAAGTGTCGAAGCCGCGACATCGGGAACGACATCAGGGACCATGTGCGGCTGCATTGCGGCATACCTGAGAGCTGAGGCCGGCCGAGTGGGTTGAGGTCTCTGGTCTTTCCCTCTTTGGCCCGTTTGGACCAGAACAAGACTCGGCAGGCATTCGACGATATGAAAGGAAGCAGCCAACATTCCCGGACTGGAAGCATCCGCTGCCGCCATCCGGAGTACTCTCTATCTATTCGTCCTTGGTACTCCGTACCTACAGAGTAATAGTTGTTAGTATCCGTGGACTGTAGACAGCTCTAAGGGCTTTAGGCTTTTTGGTTCGTGCCAGGGGTCCCTCGAGGCTCGAGGACTTTGTGGTCCCTGCGAGCCAGAGAAGGCAGCGGCTCAGCAATTCGCAATCTCAACGGGCATGTGCCGCAGCAGTTGCGAAATGACTGAGACACGGGAGATGATGGACGGCAGAAGCCGCCTTTTCCCTCTCGGGCACGCGACAAAAGCTGTCAGTTTGTCAAGAGACTCGAGACTCGCTGGACTCAACGGCCCTCAAGTCATTCTCTCTGTCCGGATATCCATATGGTCGAGGCAATTCGTTGCAACGTGCCATGCATGCTTCGCGCGAACTGCAGATCGGCCCTTTCTACAAGGTACTTTGTCCTAGTCAGGTTCCCTCCAGGTCCGCTCCACTGGGAGATGCATTAGCAAAATCGTCAAGGTACTTGTTTGTGTCCAGTGGTGCTTTTGTAGAAGAGAGTAAGTACCTGGCTTGGCTGACCTGAGGCTGGTCGCAGCATAGCTCAGCGCCCTGCCACTGAAGCAGCGGCCCTAACTCCCGCTGAGCCACCCACCTGCACCTTAACGGTGGATGGTCAAGTCAGGTCAGTCTGCCATCGTGTTCCCTTTTCGGTCTTCCATTGCTACAGTTCTGGCTTTCCACCTGCACTGGAGGCTGGCTTGCAGTGCAGCTCGGAGCTAGATGTTCGGACACGAGACAGACACACGCCAGCAGGTTTGACGGCCGTGACTTCCAATTGTTCCCGATGCAGGCAAAGGTTGAATGGAAAGTACGAAGTACCTTACCTACCTTAAGGTACCTAAGGTATTGCAAAATGGAAGGCAGGGCGGGAGCCTGGAGGGCTGTGAGGAAGGAGGAAGGAGGTCGGTCCACCTCACTTTGGGCAGGCACGCCGCACGAATACCGTACTGGATTGCTCTTGCTCAAAACATACATATTTCCGCGCCTTCCTCTGCCGCTCCTTCGGAGCTAACCTCCCCGCCCCCCCTTCCTTCTCCCTCCCTTTCGCTGCCTTCCCGTCAATATCCTTCCACCCCCGTCCCCGTCCGTCCTTGCTCGTCACCCCCTCCCCGGCCCTTCCTCTTTCACTTTCAATTGGCAGCGGCATCAGCATCAGTCCGGTATCCTTCCAAGGCAATCACGACCTTGCTCTCTTCCTTCTTCCCTCCTCTTTTCCCCTCTTCCCCATTTCTCCCTACTTTCCACCTTCCTCCTCTCGCTCTAACTCTTGCAAATCCTCTCTGCCCTGTCCTTTTGCTTTTTCCCACTTTCCTCTGACGCCGTCGCCAATCGATCCCACTTCGTCACTGCGGATCGACAATACTCGCGCGGCACTACGCATAGTCGCATACGCAGACTGCCCGTTACCAGGTACCGTCTCGTCTGTACGAAGCGAAGTAGGGCCCTGCCAACCGCCGAACCCAACGCCGACCCGCGCAGTAGCCAGGAGAAGGTCCGTCTTAGGAGCTTCCCTCACAGGCACACAGGCACCACCTGAACCTGACTCAGCCACCCGCGCCAATTATCAACCGTTCGTCTTGTCTGAGCACCCGTCGCTCCATCGCCGTTGTTACCGCCCAGACGCGACAATCACTTCCCACATTTTCCAAAGAATCCATCCTCGACTCGACCACCCCCGACGCACCCGTCACCAGTGTGTCGCCCTGAACTGAGGCCTCGTACCGCCGTCAGTTCCACGTGTATCGCCAGCTTGGTCTCTCCCACGGCCGTGTTGAGAATCGACCGCGCCTCTAAATCGACGAATTGCTCTTTGCAGAATCGCTTGTGTTGAAACACCTCCCTTTTTCCGCCCTGAAAGCTACCTGTGAGCCAATCGCTCTCATTGGAGGTACGTTGTTCGACGCTGTGCTTCCCAGATTTTGCCGAGTGCACTACGGCATCTCTGCCGATCATCAATTTGCCTCCCAAGAAACCTGCTGCATCTGTTGTGTTAGTTACGCACAAAATGATTGGGTCTTCTGCCTTGGTTGCCAATTGCCCAACTACTCGTCCCATCTCAACTCTTCCCGTCGTCTTGTTTTGTTGAATACCCGTCATCCCTTCTTCGGAGTCTGGCGATGCCATCAAAGCTGCTCCCTCGCCAGTCGCTAATATGTCTCTACCACTTAGTCCCCCGCCACAGATCTTGCTGAGACAGGAAAACACAATGTCGTCAAATGCCACGACTCCGGGCGGCGAGGCCACAACGGCCCCGGCCGCGACGCCTGGCAGTTCCGCACCCGCAGAAACGAGCGCTGCCGCCGCCACCACCACTCCTCCGGCAGAGACCTCTGCGGCAGCGGCGCCTACCACCGCACAACAACCCACGACTCAGCAAACCTCTGCAGCAGCAGCAGCGCCGACCACGTCTCAAGCTCCGGCAGCGACAACTTCTGCGGCAGCAGCACCAACTACTCAGCAGCAGAGCACCCAGGCTCCGACTTCTCAAGCAGCCGAAACTACTAGCCAGCAGCAACTGCAAACAACTCTCATAGGGACTACCGTCATCATCACGCCAACCGAAGCAGGAGGTCAGACAAGCACCATCTTCACCGTCATCACTCAGACCAAGGGCGTCACTCAGAGCGGAACTGCTGCCAGCTCATCTGCTTCTGCCACGGCCTCTGGCGGCGCCATCAACTCCGGTGGTAACTCCAAGAGCGGTCTCGGTAACGGAGGCACTATTGCTGTCGCCGTTGTCGTGCCCATTGCTGCTGTTGCCTTGCTCATTCTGGCTGGCCTCTACTTCTGGAGAAAGAGAAAGCAGCGCAAGGACGCCGAGGAGGAGCGACGCAAGGAGGTAGAGGACTACGCCTTCAACCCGAACGCGGATCCCACCATCCCGTCCCTTGGCGATGGCGGCTCGTACGAAATGAAGGAAGATGCGGCCTCATCCGGATACCGTGGTTGGGGTTCCACCACTCTTGCCGGCTCCACCGGACGTAAGGCGTCCACGACCATGTCCGGAGGCAACACAGGTGCGGCACACTCGGACACAACTTCACCCAGCCATGGAGGAACTGACAACCGTTCAGGAGAGCCTTTGATCAACGACGGCTCGTACTCACCTGATGGCGAGATCCTCGGCGCCATGGGCCCTTCGGCAGCCATGAACCGTGGAGGCGGTGTTCAACGTGGACCTTCCAATGCGTCATCTTCCTACAGTGCAGGAAACCACTCGGATACCTCTGACGGAATCGGCATGGCATACAGCGGCGGTGGTAGCAACGGCAACAGCAATGGCAACACCAACGGCAATGGTTACTACGATCAGTACGCCAACAACCCGTACTCTGACAGCCCGTACGCCAACCCGGCCACTGAGCTTCCCGGCCAACCGGTCATCCGCGACAACCCAGCTCGTCGCAACACTCGGATCGAGAACCCTTCGCACTATCCCCAACAACAGAACGCTGGTATTTCCCAGAACTTTTAGAAAAGGTCTGGTGTGTTACTACAGAAAAGTTTTGTTGTTTATTAGTCTGCTGGGGGTTCTGTTCCGAAGATACCCACCATCCCCATCAGGCCAACGGTCTCGAAATCGAGAAACACACGGCGTTACGGATTTACGGAATCATGCGACGGCGGCATTTTACTCGCCTCGCGAAGCTTCTTTTACCTTTAATATCATTTACTCCGCTGCCTTGCCTGGCGTGTTTCGCCGGTAATGGCTCGCCAAATGCCACGGAGATCATAGTCCACTTCGACGCACATGATTTATTCGTCATATATATAAACATCTCGGGGATTTGTTACGATCATTGCTATCCACAGCGCGTTGCTCCAGTTTAATGTGTTGTATATAGCAAGCCAACAAACGGTGCGCACACGCAACATGGTTTGCTGCTGTCTTGGACAAAGCAGGCAAGACTACCTTGACGACAGGGAGCTGCCGCACAAGAAAACTTGGAGGATTTTAGTACAGTAGTAGGTAGTAAAAGAGTAGGATAGCCGAGATCACCAAGATCTCGAAACACAGTCTCATAGACACGTATGAATGAATATTCCTTTGTCAATCTACCCTTGCATCCATTATTATCGCTCTATTGTGCATTTTCATTCTGAACTACTTTCGTTTCAAGAGAGGAGTCCGTCGTTAATAACATCATTTTCCCACTTATACCAGAATCCATACCAGACCTACTACAACTTGGCCCCCTCATCTTCAGCGACCCCCATCCCCTCGCTCAACCCAACCCGATCCCACCAGAACCGGAACTGCCTCACCTCGGCCTCGGTCAGCGTCCGCACGCGCGCCACGGTGCCCCTGCGCCCCTGTCCCGTACGGCCCATGAGCTCGTCGTTGCCCTCGCCAAAGACGAGGATCTTGCCCCTCGTCTCCGTGGGGTCGTCTGCCGGTCTGGGGATGTAGTCGTCCGCGGCGGTGTCGCCAAAGGGGGAGATGAAGGGGGGCCAGGAGACGAGACCGCTGGAATTTGTGTTCTCGGTGTCGTTGGGGTCCGAGGTCGTGGCGAAGGTGGACCAGTGGGCGTGCATTGCGTCCGATACGGCGAGCAGGCCGGGCGTCTTGTGTGGGGTCAGGATGTCCGTGTCGTGCGTTGCGGCGGGGACGTGGTCGCCGTGGTTTGCGGCGCCGAGGTCGGCGTGGGCGGCGTATTCGTATACCCAGACCGGAGCGGGTGTGTTAGCATCAGCGTCACCGGCAACCCCGGCCTTGGAGGCAAAGTGCGCCGAGTGCAGGAGCGGAGCAATATACCCGTAATGCCCGTACGCCTGCGCCAGCCGCCGGAACTGCGTGCCGTGGGAGGCGGTCGGAGGAGGCGGGTACGTTGATGGCGGGGGGTAGAGGGATTCTAGGGTGTCGAGGTCTGCGGCGGAGAGGGGGGGGATGAGGGCGGAGAAGAAGTCTGAGAGGGCTGTTGGGGAGGAGGCTGTTGCTGGCACGAACATTGTGCCTTCGGAGGTGTTGAAGCCTGTTAGGAGGGGTGGGAGGTTTGGGAGGGCGGGCGAGGTCCAGGTTTTGATTGGGGCGAGGGGGATTATGCTGGTATCGTTGGTGTTGCTGCTGTTGATGGACTCGATGGATGGTTGGAAGGGCCATTGGATTGAGGGGGCGCACTCTGACCAAGTCATCAGCGAGGCCTGGAGGAGTTTGTCGAAGGGGAGGGCGCGGATGGCGGGGAGGATGTCCTCTGGTGTTGCGGAGAGCTTGGAGAGGCCTGCGTGGGTTAGGAACCGGGTGAATTGGGCTTTGTGGCGGGGATGCGTGGCCGCGAGGACAGAGCGGGCTGTCGGGGCGCCGGATTCGAGGACGGCGCGGTGGAAGAGGCGGCGGGAGGGCGGGGAGAGGAGGTGGTGGCCGAGCTTTACGATTGTGTTAGCACTCCTTTCACTTCTTACACGGCCGCATCGTACTTAGGTAGGCCAACAGAAACAGAGGGGGGTGGAAGGTGGTTATGAGGAAGAATGGACCATACCGAATGCGCCCCGGCGCTGAAGCCCATGACCGTGACATCCCCTTCGTCACCACCAAATTTGCCAATGTTGCGCTGCACCCACTCGAGCAGGGCCCTCTGATCCATCAACCCTAGATTCGCGATGCCCTCTCCGGCGGCAACCCCACACGGTAGGAAACCCAGCGGACCGAGGCGGTAGTTGAAGCTCACAGCAACCACATCACGCTTCGAAAACGAGACAAACGCCGCAAGGTTCCTGTCCCCTCCCCTTCCAAAATTGAACGCACCGCCATGCGCTACATCCCCACGCTCGTCAGTACTAACATAACCAAGAATCGCACGTACGCGCATCGGGCAGGAACAAACGTACTATAAACCAACACAGGAACCTTCTTCCCCTCCACTCTCCCCCCCGCCGGACGAAAGATATTGGCGTTCAAACACCCCTCTTCATCCGCAGGGTACGTCGGGTCCGCGGTAGGACACACGGGTCCATACTCGGCCGCATCAAACGAATCGCCAGACTGGCCCGGCGCCTCCGGTCGACGAAGACGTTGGCACTTCGCATACGGCACGCCGAGGAACGCCTCCACGCCGCGCAGGAACTCTGGTTCGGAGAGCGTGATGCCGACGAAGGCTCCTTGATCCAGACGGACCGTGGGCCGCTGGTCTCGGGACGGGGTTGAGGCTGCGGGATTCATATTCCGATGAGGGTTTCGCGGTAAAGCACCAAGAATTGGGATTGCCGACGGTGGTGCCGAGGTTGTGTAAATGAAGTAAGGTAGCTCAGGATTTAATCGTGCCGGGTTTCAGATGGGCTATGGCCTGCTTTTGGCTTCTCTGATTTTATCGATTCTGTGATCACCTGGACGTCGATGTAAGGAAGGTAAATGGAAGGCGAGCGACTCATCCGCTGGACCCATTCAACCGGACGTCGTTGGTGTGCTCCGCTAGCGTCGGCACGCTACCGGCCGTGCGGTGCCGCCTCCCCTCCAGGCCGGCCCCGGTTTGCATTTTACAACACGCTGCCTTGTTCTGTTGATCACGGCGAATCATCTATCTTCACGTTGGCTAGTCTCATCTCCGCCGCGAGTGCCAAATAATCCACTGAATTTCAGATACTTCAACTGGTCTAAAAGTGACATTGTTGTTCTGCAACTGCTCACACATTCAGACATGCATCATTGGAGTTGTGTTCTTGGTGTAAAAGAGATATTTTACGACAACCAACGGGCCTAAAGAAACTATAATCAATGAAGGCGATCGACATATCGATGCTTAACCAAAAGCGAGTTCTAAACCCGAACTTCAAAACATCTACACGGCATGCGTCTGAATGTCCGCATCGCCGGCTGAACAGTTAATACCGTTGCCCCAAACTCCGCGCAGTCTCAATCAATACAGGCGCCAGGCTCCACGCACTGGTCAAATAATCTACAAGTCCGGACCCTGCCAACAAGGGCCCGGAAAATACTTACATACCGCAAATCATGCCGCCTGGCCTGCCGCGGCAGCCAGAATAGCTAGCTTGCTACGTTGTTGCTTTTCACGCCACTCCCGGCTCGCTTGCCTAGAGCGTTCCGCAGCTTGCTCGCGGGCCATCTTAGCATTCCACTCACGTTCGCGGCGCTCCCGCTCCTTGTCTTCGGTATAAGAGTTGTCACGGTGGAAGACCTCACGACCCTTGACCTTTTGCTGCTCGATTTCCTCAACAGACAGCGCACTCCGCTTGCCGCTCATACTGCCGGTAGATGTAGACGTAGCGCGGCTGAGCTGAGTCTCTGTACCGGCTTGTGAGGTACCTCTGCCGCGAGTTTGCGGTGACCTCGTCGAACCTGATCTCGCAAGTGTACGAGGAGTGCCCATAATCGACGAGCGCTTCGACGGGCTTTCCATGTCGCTGGCCTCAGATCCCTTGTTCTGGCGAGCTCGACTAGCCACGGTCTCTCGAGGTTGCGCAGCGGTCCCAAGCCTCGCCTTGATAGGACTCGCCTTGAACTCGCGACGCTTCCGCTCATCCTCTTCTTGTTGTTTGAGACGGGCTTCTCGTTCCTCCCTCTTGCGCCTGGAGATTTTCTCGCCAGGTAGCTCAAAATTGGGCTTCGTCGGGGCCTTGAGAGATCTGGTACGCTGGGGGACTGCCGCAGCGGCCTTCTCCTGGGCCTGTTGAGCCAGGCGAGCGTCGCGCCTCGCCTTGATATCGCGAGCGGTAGCCTCGCCTGGCAGCTCAAACGAGGGCTTTGTAGGAGCCCTTGTGGATTTAGCAGGCGGCTTGGGTGGCAGAAGGCTGGTTGGACGAGCCACAGGCCTTCTCGCAGGTGCCTGCATAGGCGATCCTTTTTGGGTGTCGTTGTCAAAGTTGACCGACTTTCTCTGGTTTGCGCGTGCCTGGGACGACGCGTTGGCAGCAGCGCCGACGGATTGAGTGCGCTTCAACGTTGAGGCAGATCGCTTGGTGACTGATTCGTTTGTGGAAACTGTAGTAGTAGATTCGTCGGTCAGAGATTGAATCCGTCGCGACTTGCTTGGTGTCGCCAAGCGCGTGTTGATAGCCTCCAATTCCTCCTCGAGTTTATCGATGGCTTCTACTGAGTCCTCAATTCGAGATCGCGAGCTAGTCGAGGTCGACCTCGATGGAGTGCGGGGAACATCTTCCGTCGGGACACTGCTCTCGTCCGTAGACGAGAAGGAAACGACTCTGTCCTTGGGATGGTCTACGTAGTCTAAAGACGACTCCTTGGAGTGAGTCTGTTCAACGACGGATACATTGATGGCAGACTTCGTCATGGTGTTCTCGTATCCAGCAGGCGCTGGAGAGGCAAGCCGAACAAGTGGTTCTGCAACAGCCATGTTGTCGTCGCTTTTTGAAGATGTATATGACGCACTCCGAGATACTTCGTCAAATATCAGAGGTGTTGCTAGAAGTTTGAAGGCATTAGCCGGTTTGCGCTGACTGCAAAAACTTTCCTCAGTGCGGTCGGCGTGGACTAAGACGTTGCAGCCGTAGTCGAGCGTGGTATCTGCTCGTTTACTGGGCGCATTGTTGCGCCTAGCCGGGCCGCCTGGGTTCGGAATCGAAAGTACGCAGTCATACTGACCTGCCCTGTGCCGTGCGATGGACTTCTTTATGTCAAAATCAGGATCCAGATGTTGCTGTTCGAGGCCAATTGCGTGTAGGACTAATATGGTTAGTTGAAGGACCACATGGCAGCAATCGGATGAGCAAACCTTCAGAGTAGAAGTTGGATCCGTTGGCTTCAAATGAGTCCAACGTCTGGCGAGGGGGAGTAGGTACGGCAGCACGTGTTTCAGTTGATGATGGGATACCCTCGTCTTGTTTGGTGTCTCGAGGCAAGTTGGCAAGGACTGGTCCTTGCGTAGGGCTAGTCACAGCCGAGTTTCCGTCACAGATTTCAACTTCCTCCCTAATGTGTTGAAGGGTTGGGAAGATCTTGGTGTCAATGGAGGATCGAGTCAAGCGGCGTCGTCGTGCAGGTTGTAGCAGTGATCTGTCGGCACGGTTCTTTTTAGGACTGTAAATATGTAGTTCCTTGAGTTTGTCGGTTAAAGCGTCGATGAATTCTGGCGTGTTTTGGTGACTGTTAGTGTCACAATCTTCGAGAGCAGCAACGTCGTTGGAGGTGTGAGCGCCGTTTGCGTCGGATGAAGCACGATGGCCGGGACCAGAGGGGTCCTCGAGGATACCGAAGCCGTGTCCCACGGTGTTGGATCGAGAGAGGCGACCCATTATGCTCGACAATCTCCGATTCCGACCTGAACCCAGACAAGGAACCGCCGACCCCAGACAAATTGAAAGACAATGGGCCGCAATACGTGGGTTGTCTGGGATTGGGGAGCAATTTCGCTTGTGACCAGCTGGGGTACGTGTAATATGGCGGGGTTATTGGCTGGAACACTAGGTATCCTTACTTCATACACGGTACTCTTTGTATTGGCCGTATGATTCTGGTTCAAGCCAAAGTGTGGAGGAGAGGGCTGAAGGTGTCCAAAAAGAAGAGCTCTTTGAGTATGATGGGCTAAAGTGCTTGGTGCTTTGAGATGGAAGCGGAATGGAAGCAAGACAAACAGTGACATGGAAGAGGAGGATTTCTAGCCTGACAGCCACCAAGATGGCGGGAAATTGGCTTCAATTTGATCTTTCCCCTACTTGTGAGTGTCCTGCCAATAAAGCCACCAACCAACAGCAAATGAGCATGGGCGCGGCAGGCTCGATAGATCCCCTCACTCCCGAGTCCCGACCTATTTCTGAGGGCCAGCTTGCCAAGGTCGTTCGGGTAGCCACGAGGGGTGAGGCACCTCCCGTTTCGCTACTGGCAACGGCCAACGGGTGAGCCCAGATGGAGATGACTAAGAGGCGCGTTCAGACTCAAGTCGCGTCCTTCCCGTCCATTTGGGAGTCTGGAACCCCGCACCTCACTTGTTAGTGTTTGTTGACTTGGGGTGGAGCCTCCCTGCCCAATCCAGCGTCGACATCAAACTGCCGCAACAGGACGCTAGAATGTGTAGCTTTCCGCCAACACTTGGGCATGCCACAGACTGGTAGCTTCCGGCAACGGTTCCAACGTGAGCTTCCCAAGCCATTCTTCCGCGTTGTTCTGGTCCAGTAGCCAATGATGGCTTCTCTTCTATGTGCATCTCCCATAGGCATCTCGAGAGGCCTGGTCGTGCATGCTGCACCAGCAGCACCACACAGGCTGACGTGGTCAGCGACCAAAAGTACCTCCGGTTCGAAATCCGTCGCTTCCCAAGGAATATTTTGCTTTTCGGGCCAAAGACCCATCTCTCGTGAAGCTTATCATGGCGTAGCCATACTGCTCTCTGCATTCTCTGCTGCGTTCTCGGCCTGCGCCTGGAGCGTTGGAGCGTGCTCTGTCGGAATGCGAACCAGTGTCTGCGGCAGAGACATGCTGGATTCCTCCGATTCCAACGTTTCTTCTTGCGGAGGCGGCTTGGCAAGTTGGGCTACAATTTCGGTATCAGTTACTATCATGTGCATCGCATGCAGCTTGAACCTACCGGATGCCATGTTGATAGCGCGTAGCACGTTATGCCAGTTGCTGATAACCATGGCAATCGCTTTTATCCGTCAGCTTGGCCACTCATTATGGTTCCCTCGATGGGTCATGCTGACCTTCTGTGCCATCAGAAAGCGTCGACAGCTTCTGCTCAAGTGCTTCCATCTGACCTGCAACGGCAGCGCTGAGATCGCGCAAATCTTTCAGGTGCTCCAGCTCTGCCTTCTTCTCTGCAATGCGCGCAACCAGCATGGGCGACGGGCCTGCGGAAGCGTTTTGCGACCCCGCGCCCGGGAGTCGAGTCGAGAGTGATCGGGTTGGGAATGACATCTTTTTAGATGGTAGGTGAGTCTATCACTTTGCGTTCGTAAAGGAGTCGTCGTGTTTCGGGTTCGAGTTGGGAAAAGCTGAACGTCGTGGCGGGGTAATGAATCAAGAGGGCTGAAAGCGTTCTGCAGGTCGGAGGAAACGTCAAAGGTTCGGTGAGAGTGAGCACATGAAAAAGGATGCGGCAGGCGGTGGAGAGCTGGGCCCGTCCAATTGCGCCCCCAGCAACCCCCTCTTCCCTGCACCATTGTTGACACTAGACCCAATTAGGCCGAGTGTAAATAAATGACACTTCGGTAAATTTTCTCCCTTCCCCCCGACCCCATCGTCACTGTCCCAGCCACCTTCTTGTCAGGCTTCGCTGAGCTGACTCCCTCATTCCTCACCTTTGGTCTCATCACGCGTTGGGTTTTTGTTCAGTTTTCCAGAATGCACCATGGCCCGACTAAACGAACCCCCCGTATCTACAGATAGCATCGACACGCGTATGTTTACTTACTCGTCTTCACCCCATCTCCTTAACTAACTTGTGTTATTGCAGTACGTAGGAAGCTGTTGCGCCAAAACAGAGACCTTGCCAGAGCAAATGCTGTTCACTTGAATCGCATCCACAACCTCGAAGCAGATTATTCTCGTTCCCTATCAGAAAACCTCCAGTTGAATGGTCGAATTATTGAGCTGGAGAAGGAGCTCGAGGACAGCAATGCTCGGAGGATAGCAGACCACGCCCTGGACATCAGGTCCAGACTCGAATCTCAGTTAATGGACTGCATGTCGCTTCTTTCCAATCTCGGTCAAGAGCCTCCCACGAAAAGGCACGCGAGCCCCCGAGGCAGACGGATTTCCAGAGCAAGTCTGCCGCGTGGCAGCCCTCCCCAGAGACGACCGCCACGTGAGCCAGTGAAGGACACAGAGGCTCGAGCGCTCCAGGAGGGCCGTCTACCACCTATTACAGAGAACAAGTCCTATCCGAGGGCAACGCTTGAGTAAGTCGGATGTGGTTGTTGTCAAGCTTGCGTTGCTAACATAACAAAGCCGTGAGCAGATCCTAGCTCTGTGCTCAGAAGCCGCCGACACGACCGACACGACAGACAACGCCGATACCGCCGACTCTCCCGAACTTGGTCCGCCACCAATGTCCCGATTCGTAGATACAGACTCCGTTGATATCGGATCCCCTCGTCAACCCCTGAGTGCCGCAGAACCGCAGGCAGCCACAAGTGGCTCGCCGGTGCAATCGCCATCACCAGCGCCAGTAGCTCCGGCACCCGTATCCCGAACGGCACAGAAGCCCGAGAGAAATGTCATTGTGCGGCCCGATCCTGCAACCAAGACAGAAGAACTCAGACCCGATGCCAAGCGACCACCCAAGGAGACTCCCATTTTGCCCCCCGTGCATCCGATCGTTGTCAAGGCTGGGTCGAAGAGAAAGCACAGCATGGGAGATGACCTAGCCAAGGTCACCAAACCACCCATCGAACCCTCCAAGTCGAAGGAGCCCGAACAACGTCCGCTTGAGGCACGCGAGCAACCTAGCGGGCAGACTCTGAAAGAGCTCGCCAACAGACGCCGTGAAGCTAGAGAACGGATGTCGGCACCAGTCAACTCGAGAAAGCCTTTGTCGGCCAAGAGCACGAATGACGACATGGCTTCTCCTGTGAAGAGCTCCAAGGACGCAGCAAATGACTTGAAGGCCGCTCCTGAGAAGCCGAAGCCGCGCGCAGCAAGCCAGCGGGCCGCGCAGAAGATTAGAGAGGCTGAGGCCGAATCCAGATCCGAGCCTGAGCCAGTCGAAGTGGTCATTGCCACTGTGCCATCGCCGGCACCCACTGTTGATGTCCTGCCGAGCACAGAAGCCGTCCCTATCGAAGCAGCTCTCCTTTCTCCAGCATCCCCTGAGCCAGCGTCCAGAATGAGCCTGCCGAGTGTTCGGGACACGCCCCCGCCAAACGACATCTCTTCTCAAGGCGAAACTTCGCGGCCAAGCAGGCGGGCGCGAGCTTCGGTCAGCTATGCAGAGCCGAATCTGCGTGACAAGATGCGACGCCCTACGAAGGAACTTTATGACGCCGTTACCGGTCAGACAAGGTACCTTCAGCGTAGTGGCAGCGCCAGTTCAGACCCATCTGCGACGGACGCGGCACCAATAATTAAACGCGAATCTTGTGACGATGCTACTTGGCAGCAGATTGCGGCTGCTGCTTCACCGTCTGCAATCAGTCGGCAAAGTCAAAAGAGCCCCCATGAACCCATCGACAAACCGACATCGCCGGAACGGCTGCTCGCCGTCGCGAAACCAATTCGTAAGAAACGGTCGTCTGCCATGATGTCGGGCTCGATCAGCGAGAGCGAAGGACAGAGACCTTTTCAACAAAACCCTAACAGCTCTACTCCCCTAGAGAAGACGACCAGCCGTCAATCGACGTTGTCGCCCGAAAGGGAAGCTGATCCTTACGAGTTCCCCGCCTCAACTCCAGCCAGCGACACATTCCGCGTCTCTGAGTCGAAGGACCTCGCTCTGCCACCGCGCCAGTCCAAGTCATCAAGACGAGCGTTGTCTGCTACGAGGGAGGACTTCAGAGTTGAGGGGGCAGACGGGAGCCAACGGCCCAAGTCCAGCGGGCCCAGGAAGAGAGCGTCGATGGTCTTGCCCAAAAGAAATCGCGCAGAAGCAGAAAGTATTGAGGATAGCAGCTTCGAGAGTGTGGAGAGCAGCGACTTTCAGGAAACAAGTTCCAAAGTCTCGATGCGGAGAAGGAGCATGATGTTGTAATGACCACCACATGATGAGACTGACGGCTAGCACCGGTGTTTTTGGAGTTGGATACGTTGTCAAATACCATTCTCCTTGTTTTGTCCATGTTTCTGAGTAGGCCCTTAGACCGGCCACTACTGTCTGGATACCACGGGAGACGCGATTGGGTTTTTCGTGCATATAGGGGAGCATTGCGAGCTTTGACGCCCTAGAGAATGGCTGTCTGAAACTTATATTATTATCATGATCATCATTTGCCTACGTTCCTGTGTGGTGTCTTGAATCATGACAACCAGTCGATGATGGCTGGATCTTCCACTTTTTTCTTGCAAATGTCCACGTCCTTGATTAAACGCCCTCCTCTCTCGTTCATTGCGCCATTGACTCATGCTGCCGCCGATGGCTCCACGGGCTTCGTGTATGTCACCTTTTCTACAGCAACATTCTCGTTGCCTTTGTCATCTTTCCGTAGTTGATACACGTATAAAGTGAGAGAAATCCCTTGTACCTGAAGTCATGGTCAGCAAAACTAGTACGACATAGTCTCGCCACTACTAGGCATAGTCCTCACTAGCTAGTGGGCAATTAATCGATGGATATACTCACGTCCATCAAACAGAAGCTCGGGACGGGCTCCTCCCCGTCCTTGCCCCAGCCCGCAGTGAAGGCGCCCGTGGCGCTGCCGGGATTGACGAAGAACTTGTCCATGTACTCAAAGGCATCGAACTTGTGGGTGCCACCCCAGCAGAGGACGTCGACGTCGAGCTTGTTGGCCTCGGCGAGGAGGAGGTCGGGCTCGTTGGAGACGAGGGTGAAGCCCTCGAGGAAGCCGATGCGCAGGGAGCCGTGGGTGACGACTTGGGTGAGGGGCAGGCTGGTGGCCTCGACGTCGAAGCGGCCTTTGACGATCTTGAGGTCCGGGGCGATGGTGCGGAGGTACTCGTACGTGTGCTTGTCTGTCAGGTTGCCTAGGCAGAGGGTCTGGCCGATCTTTCCTGGGGCGAGGAGTTTCTTGAACTGTTTGTTTGGGGGTATGTGTTAGCTTGTTGAAGCTGTTGCGGGAGGAGGGGTGGTGGCCGGGACGTGGGATTGAGCGGGGAGGTGTACCTTTGGGGGGATGTCGAGGGCGCGATCTGGGATGTGGAGATCGCCAATGACTAGAATTAAGAACGCCATGTTGACGGGGACGTGAAGGTGGTGATGGGAGCGCCGGGGATTCGGGAGCTGCCTGTTAAGACCTAGAGTTGCGCGGCCGATTCGAGGTCCGCAGGCCAGGACGATTCCGGCTGAGTGTGTCCGTGGATCGCTGAAACGATGCGACGATGGTCTATGTGGCTCCGGCGGCAAGGTATCGGAATGGTCGTTTCGTGATTCGGCGTGGTTGTCCTTGATAAGGTAGCTTCGCTGTGTCGGCTCGGTGTATGTAGCTCATGATGCACCGCCGCTGCGACCGCTTTCCCAGCCTCAGTTGCAACGGTCAAGTGGGGCTGGTGATGGAGGTCAAGCCACAGTCTCATGTGGGATGTTCCACCATCTCGTGGCTCAGCAGGTCTCTCCCAAACTTGGGAAAGCGCCGATGTCGTCCGGTGTCATCCCCCGAACTCAGGAGGGAGCTCCTCATGGCTCCCAGGCTCATGCCATCCTGTCAATTGTATTCGTAATTGCTAAGGTGCTCTCAACAGTCTCATTTGAACTCGGAGCTCTCCACTCTCCGACGCCAGGACACCGGTAAGAGACACGGCACTCTCCTGACTCGGACTTGAATGCCGAGTTTACTCCTTGTCTTCCCTCAGGCTTTTGCTTGCTTGACTCCCCAACGCGAACTCGACTGTCTGTCCGTCCATCCACGCTCAATTCCCTAGTGTGCTCCAGAAAAGCCCCTCCAAAGAACCAAAGCCCAGCCACTTTTAGAGGCGGGGACACAGCAGCCAGACAGACGAGAGCATTGTCGTCTTACAGATTAAATAAATAAAAAAATTCAAGGCAAGGATTACTCCATGGCATTGCGTACTCTGTTTGCTTTTTATTTACCCAAGGTAGTCTAAGCAAGGGGTCCTCAAAAGACTTCGGCCCCGGTATCCGCTCCTTTAAGGTCGTTCTCGGCCTCCTCTTCCTAGACTTGTCCTCCCCCGCGACGGGACTGATCCGAGCAAAATCGTAAGAGCCCTTACAACTCTTTGTTCCTAGACCAATTACATCCTCCGTCCGATAAAGACTATCGGCTTACCTCCCGAGGTGTGAATGACGCATAGGCGCACATGCACGTTCCCCTAAGGCGGCTCCAGCTCCCTCTCCGCACGTTGGCGAAGCAGGGGAGAATGCCCCTCCACAACCTTAGCAACCCCTCATCAGCTCGGGTATCGCTCATCTCGAGACACCTGCGACCATCGGAACCTGCGACGACTACATCAACGGCTGTAAGTCCACCCTCTTTTTTGATCTACCTAGACCAAAAACCCCCCAATCGATATACCCAACTTTCCTTCTCACACCTACACCATCCATAGGTACGACCAGTTTCCACAATGTCTTCCCAACCACCTCACTCGACTCTCCTTATCCCGGGGCCCATCGAATTCGACGATGCCGTCCTCCAGGCCATGAGCCACTACAGGTCTGAAGTCCTCTCCCTCCGGCACCCCCTCCGTCTCCACCGGATGCTCTCCCGGCATACCCAGAACACCATGCTGACCTAGACCCGTCTCCAGTGAGAGCCATGTCGGTCCCGGCTTCGTAAACACCTTTGGCGAGGCGCTGTCCATGCTGCGCCAGCTCTTCATCACCAAGGACCCCTCAGCGCAACCCTTTGTCATCTCTGGCTCTGGTACCCTCGGCTGGGACCTCGTCGCCGCCAACCTCGTCGAGGCCGGTGAGGATGTCCTGGTCCTCGCCACCGGCTACTTCAGCAATGGCTTCACGGACTGCTTCAAGACCTACGGCGCCAACGTCACCGAGCTGAGAGCCCCCGTCGGATCCCGCCCCCAGCTCCCCGAGATCGAGAAGGCCTTGTCCGAGAAGAAGTACAAGGTTCTGACCGTCACCCACGTCGACACGTCCACCGCCGTGCTGAGCGAGCTCAAGGAGTTGACCGCCTTGGTCAAGAAGGTCTCCCCCGAGACCCTCGTCATCGTAGACGGTGTCTGCAGCGTCGGTGTCGAGGAAATACAGTTTGACGAGTGGAAGCTCGATGGTGTCATCACCGCCAGTCAAAAGGCCATTGGTGTCCCCGCCGGTCTGTCGATTTCCATGTTCAGCGGTGCGGCTATGAAGGCGTTTGCCAAGCGCAAGACTCCTCCTGCGTCGTACTTTGCTTCGTTCAAGAACTGGACCCCTGGTAAGTATCGTGGCGCACAACCAGAGTAGGAATCTCCGAATCGCTAACAAAGTCACACAGTCATGCAAAACTACGAGGCCAAGAAGCCCTCTTACTTTGCGACGCCCTCTCCCCAGCTGATCCACGCCCTGCACACCGGCCTCACCCAGATCCTTTCCAAGCCCCTGTCCGAGCGGTTCGCCAGGCACAAGGAGGTCTCCGACAAGGTCAAGAAGGCCGTCGCAGACCTCGGACTCAAGCAGGTCGCCGCCAACCCCGAGGACCAGGCCCACGGCATGACCGCCATCTACCTCCCCGAGAGCGTCAAAGCGACCGACGTGCTGCCCAGCCTCGCCAAGAAGGGCATCATCTTTGCCGGCGGTATTCACAAGGAGATTGCGCCCAAGTACATCCGTTTCGGACACATGGGTGTCAGCGTGACGGACCCCAACCGCAAAGATATCGACAATGCGATCAAGGCTCTGCAGGACAGTTTGTTTGAGGTTGGCTACAAAAAGGAGTAGACTGGGGGTTAAATAGACTGGCTGAGCCCGAGCAATTATATGTTTATTATATCTGGCATGGCAATCTTTGACCAAAGTATGAGCAAAAAAGAAATCAAAGCTGAAACAAATGTGTCGAAGTAATAATGATAGCCAGGGCAAGTGGCGCTTAATGTGATTAGTCGGCAAAAGTATAAGTGTGATGGCAACGGTTCGTTCTCCTCGGCCCATTGTAAACAGGGGGTCACAGGTCAGGCGCGCGGTATTGATATGTCAGCTTCCTTGTCAAGCTGTTTGCCTGTCAGGCTACAATGAGGTGGGATCATCTTACACGGTGAACGAGTGGTCCCCGAATAACATGACCGACAAGTCAATAAGTTGGTGTACTATAGCATTGCTGACCCTTTCTTTATTGTTAAGTATGGGATCAGCGACAAGATATCTCTTTAAATGATCGACTAGTTTTTATTAGACTTTATACTTCCTCGAAGGTTGGGGGTACATCAAAGATGCGTCGCCAAGCTACATATGTCGAACGCATCGCCGTCTAATTCTCCGAGGTAAAGCGATACTGTATAAAGGTACTGTAGGGTAGGTGGGGGTGAGGAGTGAGTTTGTACCAGTACTTGGACTGACTGGGTGATGAGATAGGTGGCCAGCTCGGAAGGAAATCTAAACCAACAAGATAGACGACTTGGGAGTGGGAAAGAAAAGCCCGATGCCGTGCGCCAGTGTAATTTCATATGCGCTTCGGCTGATGGATACGGAGAGGAGTACCTAGGTAGCCAGCCCATGTGCAGCGTGCCGGCAAGGCAAGGTGAAGAGGCAGGTAAGCGGAAAGGTGAGCTGTCGGTGTGGACATGACACCGATGACGCGCATCGGTGGTGCACTGTCAAAGTGGCAGTAGCTGTCACGCTGTCTGGTTGCTAGGTGAGGTTTGTGGTCGGACCTGACAGGGTTCAACGCGCCAGGTGAGTGCAGGTGGAAAAGAGGGGTGCCGTGCAGCAACATCGACACCTCACCTCAGTGCCTTGGGAGGTACCGCGGTATTTACCTCTCATACCTTGGGTCTAACACACCACACTCTATGAAGACGGGAAGGCACGGTACCTTAGGTACTTTGGGCGGAGATGGAAACACAAGTCTTCCACTGAAGAAACGAGAGGAGGTCAAGTGCAGGGCTGGCCCAGGCCCAAGCTTCGCAGCTGCCCTGTAGTAGTTAGGCACGGTGACTTGTAAATTGGAGACCAAAAGGTCGGTAAGAGAGTGAGGAAACACTGACCCATACCCGTAGGTTAGGTGGACGCGGTAAGGCAGTGGGAGGTATCGCTACCTGTGGCTGGTGGAGTTAGCGGGCGGCTGACAAAATTGATTGTCCCCCGCCATCCGTCTCTTTTGCTCTCTCGATAACCAACCTATCCTCGCCTTCACGCCAGGCAGACTTCCCTCACCTCCCACTTCTCTGCCGCTTTCCTTCTCTCTTCCAATTGCACAAATCTTCTCTCGCGAACAACATACGAACTCGTCCTTTTTTGCTGCATCAGCCGTAGCGCTCGTATACCGACCCTCCAAACCCCCTCGCGACCGCGCCCTCGCTTTCGCCCCCCGCCTGCCCTCCTCCTGACTTTGGGGAGAGTTGTGCCGCGACCAGATTCCCCCTCACCCCGTTGCTGCGTCTTGCGATCGAGATCGACCTGTCGTCCACCACACCCCGCCCCCCGTACCGCACCACCAGCGATGGCTATCACGATCCCGGAGCTGGACGAGATCGTCCGCTCCTTCTACGAGGGCCGTGGAGAACAGGTGCGCTGCAGTTTTCTGCCCCGGCTCCGTCTGAGATTTTTGGCCGAGGCTGACCGATGATTCTCGAAATATAGCAAAAGCAAGCGCAAGCTACGCTTAACCAGGTACGCGACCAACACCACTCCGTCCACGAAGCATGAACCATGGTCTCTAACTCGATTTCCTATTGCAGTTCAAGGAAGACCAAGATTCCTGGCTCCTGGTCGACAAGATCCTCGCCGAAGCGACCCACCCTCAAACAAAGTGTATGTTGGGCGCGAACCACCAAGACGCCGCGGTGCAAAACAGCTGACGGTTTTTAGTCTTGGGATTGCAGGTGCTCGACAATGTTATTATGACAAGATGGAAGGTTCTGCCTAGAGACCAGTGCCAAGGTTCGTGAATTTGCTTTTTACTTCCTATACTCGTATTGACAATGTTCAGGCATCCGCAACTTCGTCGTGCAGTTCATTATCCAGTGCTCGAGCTCCGAAGAGTCGATGAAGGAACAGAAGATCCTGCTGAACAAGCTCAACATCGTTCTCATCTCGATCCTGAAGCAAGAATGGCCTCACAACTGGCCCACGTTCATCAACGAGATCATCACGTCGTGCCACTCCAGTCTGTCCATTTGCGAGAACAACATGGTCATTCTGCGCCTGCTGTCCGAGGAGGTATTCGACTACTCCGCCGAGCAAATGACA